GGACAAGCAAAGGACAAATTATTCTAAAAAATGTCATTTCTTCGTCACTCTACTGACGAGCAAAGTCGGAAATTATAGTATGTATATCATTTTACAAGAAAGAACTCTACTGATGAGCAAATTTAAAAATTACTCTGAAAAATGTTATTTAATAACACAGAAAGAACTCTACTGACGAGCAAATTATGAAATTATTCTGAAAAATGTCATTTGAAGAAAAACTAAGGACTCTACTGACGAGCAAATTTGAAAATTTGAAAAAATAGAACACTCTTCTGACAAGCAAATTCGGAAACTTTTAGTAATATGTCAGAAAATTCGGAAATTTGGAAATTTTTAAGAAAAAGAAAAGACTCTACTGACAAAGCAATAATTCTTGAACGTACTCTTATTTGTTCTATGTTATCCGAGAATAGGCCCATTCAATTTAATTTTGAAATAAATAAAATGAGAAATTTATTTTTATATTAATTTTATATTATTTTTTTGCAGGGTTAATTCAGTCGTTGCAATCCTTCTATCGATTTTAGTAATTGCAATCAATATTTATTTTGTGGTCGACCAAGTTAATAATGGAGACTTGACGGAAGGTTATTTAGCTCTTATAGGTAAGTAGTAATTAATATTAGAATTAATAGATACTAAATATTATTAACTAATTTTACTACAAATTAATATTATTAACATCTTTGCTTCTACCGTTTTTTAAGTAATACAGTAGTATTTATATTTTAATTTTGCACAAATTTCTCGAAGACACCATTCATATGAAACGAACGGTTCCAAAGTTACAAGAGACGTAACAAAAGTAGACCATTGGGTTGCCGAACTATAAATAGTACAGCGGGTAAAGATGTTGTGACGTCACATACGGCATGTGGGGTATCAAATCAAAGGTAGCGACGAGCACTGTACTAATATCATGCTTATAGTATTGAAAAATCAAAATAATTTCATGTAAATTACTTATTCAATGTCTAATTTGAAGTTTTGTTCAGAAGTTACTCAAAATATTCGATTATGTTTTTACTAATACAATTTACAATAATTTCACCAAATATTCCATTTATCTCGGACAAACCGTTCAAAAGTTACAAGAGGTAACGAAAAGAGACCATTGGGTTGCCGAACTATATATAATACAGCGTATAAAGATTTTGTGACGTCATATATATCATGTCGGGTATCAAATGAAAGGTCTTGAGCACAATAATAATATCATACTTAAAAATTTGAAAAATAAAAAAAACAAATTGTATAAATTACTTATTTAATTTTTTTGTTCAAAAGTTACTCAAAATATTTGATTATGTTCTTACTAATACAATTTACAACAAATTCACCGAAGGTTCCATTTATCTCGGACAAACCGTTCAAAAGTTACAAGAGGTAACGAAAAGAGACCATTGGGTTGCCGAACTATATATAGTACAACCGATAAAGATTTTGTGACGTCACATATATCATGTGGGGTATCAAATAAAAGGTCTCAATGAGTACTTTTTGAATATCGTATAGACAAACTTAAGAAACCCAAAGGGTTCCGTACAAACATTGTTATCAGTATAAATAAATTATTTAATATTCACGATTTCATTTTAGTTTTATCTTATATTTATATTCAATTTTATATCTTTTCAGTGATATTTGGAATACTGTATTTGTTATTCTGTTTGTACCTGGTGATACACATGTCTGCGAGTATGGGTTGCAGGAGTATAGCTAATTTATCGGTAAGATAATATATATATATATATATATATATATATATATATATATATATATATATATATATATATGTAGTCATTTTTTATACTAAAATAATTTTTTTAATATAATGACTAACGAATTTTAGTTTGCTCGTCAGTAGAGTCCCTTTCCTGATGTAGTTCAATAACGAATTTTACTTTCCTCGTCAGTAGAGTCCTTTTTTGTTACGAATCAATAATGAATTTTATTTTGTTCGTCAGTAGAGTCCCTTTCCTGATTTAGTTTCATAATGAATTTTAGTATTCACGTCAGTAATGTCCCTTTTCTCTTTTGGTTGAAAAATGAATTTTACTCTGCTCGTCAGTAAAGCCCTTTTTTGTTATGAATTAATTAATTTCATGTTATTCGTCAGTAGAATCCTTTTTTGTTACAAATCAATAATTAATTTTATTTTGTTCGTCAGTAGAGTCCCTTTTCTGATTTAGTTCAATAATGATTTTCATTTTGCTAGTCAGTAGAGTCCTTTTTGACTCAAACCAATAATGAATTTAATTTTGTTCGTCAGTAGAGTCCCTTTTCTGATTTAGTTCAATAATGATTTTCATTTTGCTAGTCAGTAGAGTCCTTTCTTGACCCAAACTAATAAGGAATTTGTTTGCTCGTCAGTAGAGTCCCTTTCCTGATTTAGTTTCATAATGAATTTTAGTTTTCACGTCAGTAATGTCCCTTTTCTCTTTTGGTTCAAAAATGAATTTTACTCTGCTCGTCAGTAAAGCCCTTTTTTGTTATGAATTAATTCATTTCATGTTATTCGTCAGTAGAGTCGTTTTTGTTACGAATCAATAATTAATTTTATTTTGTTCGTCAGTAGAGTCCCTTTTCTATCTTGTTTTTAGTGAATTTAATTTTGCTCGTCAGTAGAGTCCCTTTCCTATTTTGGTCAATAATGATTTTCATTTTGCTAGTCAGTAGAGTCCTTTTTGACCCAAACCAATAATGAATTTTAATTTGCTCGTCAGTAGAGTCCCTTTTATATGTTATATTTAGTTTGCTTGTCAGTAGAGTTCCTTTTTATTTATCTATTCAATTTGCTCGTCAGTAGAGTCCCTTTTGTTATATTTAGGTTGCTCGTCAGTAGAGTCCCTTTTATATATTATTTTCAGTTTTCTCGTCAGTAGAGTCCTTTTTTATCTTACTCTTCAATTTGCTCGTCAGTAGAGTCCATTTTTTAAGTTTGCTCGTCAGTAGAGTCCCTTTCCTGATTTAGTTCAATAATGATTTTTATTTTTCATGTCAGTAGAGTCATTTTTATCTTTTGGTTCCAAAATGAAGATATATATATATATATATATATATATATATATATATATAATAAAATTGTTTCTTGGGCATCCATCCAGTAATTAAAAAGCGGTTTTATTGAAAAATGTTTTTATTTAGAGAAACATACGTTTCGGGTCTTGATTTGACCTATCTTCAATGCATACAAATAAGTTTTTAAAAAATAACACAAAAAACACAACAAAATTGTACTAAAAAATTATTAAATATGAAATAAAAAATTGATAAGACATCAAGTTATGAATTTTTTTTAAAAAAAAATAGTAAAATTAAAATAAATAATATATTTTTTTATAAAAAAGGTTTTTCCAAACGAACATGTCAGTTTAGAGACCGTGTTACGTGTCATATATATATATATATATATATATTATTATTTTATATATTATTATATATATATTATTTATTATATAATATATATATATATTATTTTTTCTATTTTTATTAGTTTGTGCAAAACTATGTGATGACGTCCGATGCTGATTCGAGCCCCATCGATAATCAAACGAGTTACTCGAGGTAAGTCTTACAAGTAAATATTAATACAGGGTTGTACTTAAAGTAGTTGGGTTAATGTCAAAAGTATATATACTTATATAATTGGGTGCTTATTTATACGAGATAAAATATATGTCTTAAGATGTAATAAATGAAACTTATGAACAAAATTTAATAATAAACGAGTTGTTTTTTATGAGTAGTTATTTCTATGAGTTAGTGCAAGTAGCATTAAAAACTAGTGGTGTATGGCATCGTGCCTTGAGGCAAATTGCTGGAACTTCCCGTACCGTGAAAATTTCGAGAAATTTTAAACGTTTTCAAATATATTATTACAACAAATACTGTAATTGTTTCATTATTTTTTTTCTATCTCGTTTGTTATATTTAAGCAAACCAAATGTAAATCATAAATCAATTTATCTCCAGAACATTTCCAATAATCGTCATTTCATTTCGAATTCAATTTCAAAAAAATAGTTTAGTTGCATATTTACACAAAATTGAAAAAGTGCACAGTACTAACCAGCAAACTTAATTTTATTATGAGGAACAAAAAGGACTCTACTGACAGCAAACTAAATTTATGAGGATCTAAAAAGACTCTACTGACGAGCAAACTACATAAACAGAATAAAAGGACTCGACTGATTGCAATGACAAATGAATCAAATTTCAAAAGAAATAGCAAAAAGAACTCTACTTATGATCAAACTGGAACAATGAAAAAATGGAATTCTATTGGAAATGAACAAGTAATAATTTATCTATTTATCACTTATCGAAATATTGGTAAAATATAATTTAATACAAAAAAGCTCTACTGACGAGCAAACTCGAAAATTATTTAAAAAATGTCATTTAATGTAAAAAAGGACTCTACTGACTATCTAGCTTTCACATCTTCCTATTTCTTTCTATTTTTTATAAAGGGAACTGAAATAAGAAAGAAAGAAACTCTACTGATGAGTAAACTTAAAAAAATAAAAAGGGACTCTACTGATGAGCAAACTGTAATAAGAGACAAAGGAGACTCTACTTACGAGAAAATTGAAGAGAAAAATAAAAAGTGACTCTACTGACAAGCAAATTGAAGCGGGAAATAAAAAAGGACTCTACTGAAGGCTAAAAACAATATAACAAAAGGGACTCTACTGAAAGCAAGCTAAAATAAAATATAAAAAGGACTCTACTGACGAGCAAACTAAAATAAGACACAAAATGAACTCTACTAAAACCAAAATAAATTATAAAAAGGACTCTACTTACGAGCAAACTAAAAGAAGAGACAAAACCTTTACTGACGAGCAAACTAAATATAGCAAAAGAACCTCTACTGACGAGCAAAATAAAAAAAAGTAAAAAGGGACTCTACTGACAAGCAAACTGAAATAAAATGCAAAAGGGACTCTACTGACGAGCAAATTGAAGGGGAAAATAAAAAGGACTCTACTGACGTGCAAACTAAAGAAAATGAAAAAGGACTCTACTGACTACATTTGTTTTTTAGCAAGTTTTTCTTAGCAAACTTTTATTAACGAAGAAATAGTTTATGTTTTCGATGTTTCATGTCACTCTGAATCGTGTTTCGATTCGTGTGACTAATTATTATTTGCACATTCAAGAAAAGTTCATGCAGTTCGCTTTAAGGCAAAATGCCACTTACAACTAAAATAAGTTATAGAGAATATAAAGAATAACTAGTTACAAAGACATATATTTTATCTCACCTTATCTTATCTAATTCTTTCTCCTGGTGTACTGTTATCTAAAGTATCTTTATCTACATTATCTTATTCCTGGTATTTGTTTCAGTGCTAACGATTAAAGAAAACACATCATTAAAACAAAAATCTTGTAAATAATTAATTAAAAAAATAATTTAAGATGACGACAAGAACGAGATGTATCTATCGTAAGTTTTTTTTAAAAAAAAATATGCTTGAGTGTTAAACTATGCAAATTCTTTTTTTTCGTTTTCATTTTGCTAATCAATATAAATACGCCAAGAAAACTGTAAAAATGTCTATCTGTTTGCAGTGCGTTCAGGCGTATTTTACAAAAAAACAAGTCCGGGGGAATGTTCGAGGATTCTTTTAGAATCCTCGAACTTTACCATAAAACGAAAGGAAACTCTACTGACGAGCACACTAAATTTCATAATATTACTATTATTTCCGATTTTGATCGTCAGTAGAGTTCTATTTGTTCTCAAATGGCAGTTTAGAAATAACTTTCGAATTTGCTCGTCAGTAGAGTCCTTTACATTTTTTGTTAAATGAAATTTTACTAATAATTTCTAAATTTGCTTGTCAGTAGAATTCTTTCCTAACAAATTGATAGTAGTTTCCGAGTTTGCAAATAAATAGTAAAATTTCAATTTAGAAAAAAATGAAGTAGACATTTTACAAAAAGGTGGATTCTACTAACAAATTTGAAAATTAATAGTAAAAACAAGCAAACTGAAATAAAAAGAGTAAAGAACCTACTGACGAACAAATAATTAAATATTGTAGAAAATAAAAAGGACTCCACTGACGAGCAAATAATTAGATATTGTAAAAAATCAATGATTAAATAATCTAGACAATAATAAAAAAAGGGACTCTACTGAAGAGCAAACTGAAATATAAAAGAAGAAAGAACTCTACTGAACATTCTTCCTTGCTTGTTTATATGTGAAATACGCCTGATTGCACAGCAAACAGTTAGACTTTTTTACAGTTTGTTGCCATGACAACGCTATGTTATGAGGCAAAATTGCCCGATTAATAAGCTTGTGTTTAATTAATGTTTTATTTATTTGATTTTCGATTTTTTTTTGTATTAGGGTTGTTAAGGTCTCTTTAGCTGCTTTGGGTGAACGTTAAAACGGCTGAAGCGATTTTTTTGGGTAAATTTTTTGGTGCTTTTAATAATTTATATTTTAAGGTAGATTTGGTTGGAGCAAAGGCCATGGTTGTTAATAAATACACAAATATATGCATTAATATATATATATATATATATATATATTTATATATATGTGTATATATATATGCACTAAAACTTAACATATTTTTAAATAATTACAATTCTATACAAAATGTTTTACCCAAAATGGACTAGCCGTTCAACCTTATACATATATAGCAATATAGTAAACAAATAGTAAAGAAATAAAATGGAAATTTTTCAAAATGAAGGACTCTGCTGACAAGCAATTCTTAAATTATTAAAAAAATGTAATTTTAGATAAAAATAACCCTACTGGCGAAATAGGGCGAGGATGGGACTCTACTGACGAAGAAACTAAAATAATAGGCAAAACAAATTAGTGACAAGCAAACTAAAATTAAAAGAAAAAGGGACTCTACTGACGAGCAAACTGAAATAAAATGGAAAAAGGACTCTACTGACGAGCAAACTGAAGAAATGGAAAAAGAACGCTATTGACGAGCACGAATTTTGAACGAAAAAAGGACTCATAAGCAAACCAAAATAAGAGAAATAAAAGACTGTACTGACGAGCAAACTAAAATAAGAGATAAAAGGAACTCTACTGACGAGCAAATTAATTTTAAACGAAAAAAGTACTCTACTGACGAGCAATCTGAAATAAGAGATAAAAGGGACTCTACTGACGAGCAGGCTAAAATAAAAGAGAGAAAATGACTCTACTGAGGAGCAAATTGAAATAAAAAGGAGAAAAGGATTCTATTGACGAGCAAACTAAAATAAAAAAGAGGAAAGAACTCTACTGACGAACAAAAAATAAAATATTGTAAAAAATTAAAAAGGGACTCTACTGACAAGCAAATAATTAAATAATCTAGACAATAACAAAAAAGGGACTCTACTGAGGAGCAAACGGAAATATAAAAAAAGAAAGAACTCCACTGACGTGAAAAACGATTTAAAAAGAATAAAGGTACTCTACTGTCTATAGTCTCTAAAAGAGACTATTTTAAGATATAAAAGGAACTCTACGGACGAGCAAACCGAATATTTGGCAGAAAAATAAAAAAATACTCTACTGACGAGCAAACTGAAATAGAAAAAAAAAGGACTCTACTGACGAGCAAACCTAATTTTGCTCACAGTGATGGAAACAAAAGGGACTCTACTGACAAGCAAACTAAAATAAAAAAAACAGAAAATGACTCTACTGACGAGCAAAATTTTGATTTGATTACCAAAGGGACTATACTAACAAGCAAACTCAAGTAAAATAGGAAAAAGAATTCTACTGACGAACGAGCTGAAAGAAAGGGACTTTACCGACACACGAAGTGAAATAAAAGAGGACAGGGACTCTACTGACGAGCAAACATAAAGAAAACGAAACTTACGGACTCTAAAATCAAACTAATATACACGATCTTCTATTTTAACTTTGTCAAAAATCATCAGCTTTCAAAATTATTATTTTTCTCAAAAATACTCAACGTCATTATCACATCTAAAAATTTATTATCATACTATATATAGTACTCCTGACATAATACCGGACTTCATTAATGCCGCAAAAAATCGCCGCGAAAATTTTCAAAAAAAATACACTTATCACAAAAAACCACCTTTATCAAATACTCCAACCAACGTTTAGCAAACCTTTAAACCATTCATCATTTTCTACAACCATGGCCTTTGCTGTCGCACTTTATATGTAGCATTTTCTTTATAATTATATTACATGTTATTATCGCTTATCTTATCTTATCTTATCTTATGTGTGGTGTGTTACTTTACTTAATCTTTACTATTTGGTCTAATTCTATACTTCTATCTGTGCTAACAATTCTATTTCAGTTTAAAATCTACTAAAACACAAATCACGGAATTTCTATGACACCAAAATAATAAAAAACACAGAGAAGACTTAATTATAATAATTGTAAGTAAGTATTGCAACATATATGAATATGTATAATATATATATATATATATATATATATATACATACATGTGGGATTATATTATAATAAATTTATTTTGCTTGAATATTAATCTATTGAATGTTCCTGGGTTCACTTTTTTCTATTTGCACATTTTAGGTTTAAGTTAGTTTTAGTCTAAGTCTAGTATAAATGGGCAAATCAAATTTAAGATTAAGTTTAGTTTCTATTTTAGTCAAAGTCTTCGTTTTGTTTATATTTTAATTACAATTTAAGTTCATGTCTAAAACTAGTCAGAGGTTTTATGAAATAGAAGTCTTAAAAGAAGTCCAAAAAAAAAATTTGAAAAAGTCCTAAACTAGCCTGAGATTTAGTACAAGTCTTAATAATAGCCCAAGATTTAGTCTCTGATTTATTGTAAGTCTTAAATCGAAGATTTAATCTAAGATTTTAGTCTCACAAGGACAACCTCATGTTTTTCCATCTCAGATTTCTATGAAACTTTGCATGATGTTAGAGTCGATAGTCAAAATGAATCCCTCAAAATATTATAGGCCTATGATAAGTGGTTTAATTATAAAAAAATAATTAAAATTCAGAAAAATAGGTAGAGCGTATAGATTTTGTTATTAATTTGCTTGGATTATTATTATTTTCACTTCTTATAAATTTCTAGAAGGAGAAATCTATTCCCAAAACAAAAATTTTAAGTATTATTACTGCTTGTTATCATGCTGTCCTGTTGCAAGTCTAAGCTTTTACCGCAAAGATATAGCGAAATATATTTATGTAAAATATTTGACTTTTTTAACTTCCCGTTTTAAATGTTTTCGTCAGAAAATCCGAGTTGCTAATTTTATTTTTTCGCGACGTTTCAAGTCACTCTGAATCGTTTGATACTAAATTTTTAAGACCATGTTCATAAGTTGTTCGTCAGTATAGTCCTCTTTTTATATTCGAATCTACTCGTTTTCAAATGACGTTTTACCAATAATTTCTGAATTTGCTCGTCAGTACAGTTCTTTTTCCATTTATTTTTACATTGTTCATCAGTAGAGTTCCTTTCTTATTTTATTTAGTTTGCTCGTCAGCAAAGTCTCTTTTCCATTTTATCTTATTTCAGTTCTCTTTACATCTTGTTAGAGTTTGCTTGTCAGTAGAGTCCTTTTATATATTTCTTATTTTGGTTTGCTCGTCAGTAGAGTCCTTATTTCGCTTATTTTTAGTTTGCTCGTCGGTAAAGTCCCTTTTCCCTACAATTTCAGTTTGCTCAACAGCAGAGTCTCCTTATCTTTTATTTTTACTTTGCCCTTCAGTAGCGTCGTTTTTCCTTTCATTTTCAATTTGCTTGTCAGTAGAGTCCTTTTTGATTACTGCCAAATATTCAGTTTGCTTCTCAGTAGAGTTCAATTTTTATTTTCACATCGTGTTTGCTTGTCAGTAGAATTATTTTTTCCTTCATGTTCAGTTTGATTGACAATTGAATCTCTTCTTCTTGAATTTTTAGTTTGCTCATCAGTAGAGTTCCTTTATCTTTTATTTTTAGTTTGCTTGTCAAGAGAATCCATTTTTTCTATAATTTGAGTTTGCTCATCGGTAGAGTCTTTTTTCATCTTTTAGATCGTCATTTTCTCTTTTCGTGTCAAAATTTCAGTTTGCTTATAAGCAGAGTCCTTTTACGTCTTCTATGTCGTCAGTAGAGTCTTCTATTTTCCAGGTCGTCAGTAAAGTCTTTTTATTCTTCCTACCAAATATTCAGTTTTCTCGTCAGTAGAGTTCCTTTGTTATCCTAAAATCGTGTCTACTCGACAGTAGAGTACCTTTATTGTCTTTAAATCGTTTTTATCATCAGTAAATTTCTTTTTTCTTCTTTAATTCCTTGCTCGTCAGTAGAGTCCTTCATCGCATAATTTCAGTTTGCTCGTCAGTAAAGTCCATTTTTCTTTAATTTTTAATTTGCTCGTCAGTAGAGTCCCTTTTCCTTTCATTTTCAATTTTCTCGTTAGTAAACTCTTTTTTTATTATCTGAGTCGTTATTTAAATTCTTTTTCATCTTCCAGGTCGTCAGTAGAGTCGTTTTTCATGTTTCTGCCAAATTTTCAATTTGCTCGTCAGTAGAGACTCTTTATTTAAGAGTCTCCTGTTTGCTCGCCGGCATAGTCTTTTTTATTTCTGACAAATTTTCAGTTTGCCCGTCAGTAGAGTTCCTTTATTCTTTTTAAATCATGTTTGCTCGTCCGTAGAGTTTCTTCGCCTTCAAATCCCGTTTGCTAGTCAGTAGAGTCCCTTAATTCTCTTGAAATCGTGTTTGCTCGTCAGTAAGATTCTTTCTCCCTTCTTAAGTCTTGTTTACACGAAAACTAACCTCCAAATACCAAAATAACATTAGTTAGACTTCACGCCTATTTTATTTACAAGCTCAACGCAGGACTACTAATTATTTTGAACTTCTTGAAGTTTTTAGTATTACCATATGAGATAAAACATGTAACCGAGAATAACTATTACCCTTACAATAACATCATGAACAAAAGTATCGGATAATAGGCTCATTAATATCATCCAATAGAATTTATAATTAAAATGACTAAAACTTAGAACTTTAGTTTTTATAATTAAACCACATAACATAGGCCTCTAATATTTCCTGGGTACCAATTTAGTCAATTCAAAACCTATTATATAAGTCTACGATTAAGTCCCGGACAAATATCATATCTGATAGAATTAGTAATAATAAAATCAATCTTAAATTAATGGGGCAGTTTTATTATAAAACGCTATTTTATGCTTGTTTATTGGTAATGAAAACTGTGAAAATGTCTATTTATTTGCCGTGCGATCAGGCGTATTTTACATATAAACAAAGCAAGGAAGAATGCTATAATAACAGAATTATCGAACATTCCCCCTTACTTGTTTTTATGTAAAATACGCCTGATTACACAGCAAATAGATAAACATTTTTACAGCTTCAGAATTACCCTATTAATTTAAGATTAATTTTATTATTATATACATTGATTTTGTTATTAATAACATTTTATTATCATGACAAAGCTATAAATTTTAGTAATAATAATTAAATAAATTTATGTAATAATAATTATTAATATTTTACTTTTATTTTACAGTACGGGTACCTTGTCAGTCATCCAGGACTTGTCACAATTCAATCGAAGCACCGAAAATATTTTACATTCTTGAACAAAAGATTTATTTATAATTATTAGCAAAAATATTGAAATCTTTTATTTATATCTAATTAATAATTATTATTATTCAAACAACAAAGAATTTTTTTAAATCGAAAATAATTATCTATTTCTTTTACTGTGAGTTGAAAGAATTTAAGTCGAGTTTCTTCATTTTATAATTTCAAATAAATATTTTTGGTTAGAAGACTTTTTATGAAATTAGTAATTTTGTTTTCCAAAATGTAGAAGTTTTAGTTCATTGTAAAATTAAAATTAAAAAAAAAAAAGTTTTATTACTACTTCTCTCGACTACTTTATCTTTTGTGATTGTTGAAAATACGAGTTTTTAGTTTAGTTAAAAGTTTGTATTTTTACATATAAGACATAAATCTATTATGCCTTGTTTAAGTTTAGCTCATAACTTACATTTAGTTAATTCCAAAAGTTCCCAAATATCATTTCTAGAATAAATTATGTTGATGTAAATACTAAATAGAGTTGAAATTTGTAAAAAAAAATGTAATTAGAAAAAGAGACTTTGTAAAATTGGAAATATGTAGTTAATAAAAGTTTCGTACTTTGGTAAATTATTTGAATTTTGTTTAAAAACAATCATAAATGTCTATGAATTAATATATATATATATATATATATATATATATATATATATATAAACACCGGGAAATTCTGCTTCATAAAATGATAACTATCATATGCTTGTTTCTTGTGAGAATGTCTATCTGTTTGCAGCGCGACCAGGCGTATTTTTACAAAAAAACAAGTAAGGAGGCATGTTCGAGGATTTTGTTATCATAACATTTTTCCTTGCTTTATTTATGTGTAAAATACGCCTGATCGTACAGCAAATAGATAGGCATTTTCACTGTTTTCACTACCAAGAAACAAGCATAAAATAGCGTTGCCATGACATTTTATAAGCTAGAATTGCTCCCATAATTTATTATTAATTTTCCAAAAGAGAAGTTATTGTTTTTGTCTAAAAAATTTTAAAATTTTTGTCTAACAATAAGTTATTCCAAATCGTTTGACACCCTAATTGTATAAAGTATGTTAATGTATGTATGACAAAATTTATTTCGAGAATTTCTCTAAATTTGCTCGTTAAAATGAAATTTAACTTTTATTCTTATTTTCTTCACAGATTTTGCATTTCAGTAGAATTCTTTTTAATAAATTCCGATTTTGCTCGTAGGTAGAGTTCTTTCTTTTCGAAAATCACATTTTTTATTATTAATCACAATTTCGTCGTCAGTAGAATGCTCTTTTCTAATAATTTTTCAAATAACTTGCTCATCAGTAGAGTTTCTTTTCTTTCTTAAATTATATTTCATTAATAGTTTTTGAATTTGCTCGTCAGTAGAGTCCCTTTTTTCTAAAACATAATTTGACTTTCATTCTTATTTTTTTCTCGTATACAATATTTAAATAATTCTTCACAGATTTTTCATATATCAGTAGAATCCTTTTTATAAATTCCGATTTTGCTCGTCAGTCGAGTTCTGTTTTCTCTAAAGTCATATTTTTTAATATTAATCACAATTTGCTCGTCAGTAGAATTCTTTTTTTTCAAAAGATTTTTTACGTCTGTTAATATTAATTATGTTCTAATAATTCTTCAAAGATTTTGCTCGTCAGTAAATCCTTTTACTAAATTAAAAGACATTTTACTACTTTTTTCTGCATTTGCTCACCAGTAGAGTCATTTTTCTTTGAAACAATGATCAAATTTATTGTGTACCAATTTTGTTCGCTTTGTAGCCTTGAAAAAAAATTTACCTCATTTTTCAATTTGCTCGTCAGTAGACTTGTATATATATATATATATATATATATATATATATATATATATATATAATTGTTTAATATGAACAAAACATCACTCAGATTTTATATTAAAAAGTCCAAATTTAGTTTTAAATAAAATATTAAAAAGAATCTTTTGTAATAAATAACTGTTATTGAAATTACACTGATGATGAGGCACACCTTAGTCTCGAAACGTTTGTAATAATAAAATAAAGTTGTGATAAAAAAATCTAAGTGATGTTTTGTTCATATTAAACAATTAATATCCGTTCCACTCATATCATAAAATTCTATATATATATATATATATATATATATATATATATATATATATATAATATATAATAAAACTGTTTCTCGGGCATCCATCCAGTAATTAAAAACAGTTTTATTAAAAGAAAATGTTTCTATTCAGAGAACATACGTTTCGGGTCTTGATTTGACCCATCTTCAGTGCTACAATTATATATTTCAGGGTTAGAATTTAAAACAATATAAAAAATATTTATCATAACTTGACATTTTATCATTTTTTTTTCATTTTTTTTTCGAGCAATTTCGTGTGTTTTTAACTTCCCGTAGGGTAAGTTATAGTAATCGCAAAAAAATGAAAATTTATATATATATTTACGTTTCAAAGGTTTCTGAACATTTTGGCATACCTTAGAAAAAATGGATGTATGTGTGTGTGTGTGTGTGTGTGTATGTATGTATGTATGTATGTATGTATGTATGTACGTGTGTGTATGTATGTGCGGATACAAATTTTCGTCGACGATTTCGGGAACATGAATGAATCGATTTGGATAATTCAAAAAACATTCGATTTGTATTGATAAGGAGACGTGCTGATTAGTTTTTGGCGAAGGCAGGCCTAGCCGTTCCGAAGATACGGGGCAAGAAGTGCCGAAAACGGTAACTCAGTTTTTAAGAGAACGGAGCGTCCGATTTGAATAATTCAAAAAACATTTTACTTGTATTGACAAGATGAAGAATTGATCAGAATTTCATGAGGGCAGGTCTAGCGGTTTCGGAGATATAACGAAAAAAGTAAAAAAAAATGCCATTTTGCGATCAAAAATGATCATTAGACATACGCACCTCAAATTATCAGATATGTTATAGAGATTTTAACGATAAGTATAAATTTTGTTTACATTCCTATGGGTTCCGTACCAATGTTTATCCGTTACACAGCGACGCGGCGCTTACGCGCTTTATATTTTGTCTCTATGCAGTTAAAGCAGTACGATTGCTTTGAAAAAAAAGTTCAGATCTTCAAAAATATGTCAAAATAAATAAAACATTTTTTTTTTCAAAAAAAAAAAAAAAAAAATTTAAAAAATAATTTTTTTTAAAAAAAATTTAAAAAAAAATTTTTTTTTTCAAAAAAAGTAATTTTTTGTCCAATTTATAGTTCCTCAAAAATTTTATTTTTTCGAAGTAAAATTTTTTCAAAAATGTTAATCGTTTTTAAAAAAAATAATAATTTTTGGTACGGGAAGTTCCAGCAATTTGCCTTAAGGCACGATGCCTCAATTGCCTTAAGACAGAATTCCACTTACAGCTAGTTGTGTTTTTTTTTTTCAAATTTATTTGTATGGTGAGTTTCTTTACATTTGTTTATTTTATGGTTGTTTTTCATATTACTTTTCACATATATATTTGTTTTAAAACAAATTTATCAAATTGGCTAGATTTATGTTTTTTACATGTTTTTATTTATTTTTGTCTGTAATTATGTCTTTCTTGAAAACCTTCTCGAGACATACTTATGTTTGTCCCCTAAACTTTTGATCTTAATAATCCACTCTTCAATATTTATATATTCCAACTTATTGCAACAAATTTTAGCAAGAAATATAATATATGAGTATTTTTCTTTTTATGACACTCAAATGGTCTTCGAAGAGAACAAAATCATCATTCGTTGACAAGATTTAGTTAAGATGTGATAATTGTGAATACTTTAGAAATTAATTAAATTTATACAAGTTTATATTATTATAACGTTTACACAAATTAGATTAGACTAATCAATCTTAGAGAGCAATTTATTAGCAATTCTTCGATGAAACAAATCATTTGATAAACAAGACAAAGAATATATAATATTGATGCTTATTTGATACAAGATGAATCAAATTGCAAGTATATTTGCAAATAAAATATAAAATATATATATACAGAAGCATAAAAATATATTTTACAAGAATTCCTATTGTGATAATAAAGTTTTTTATGCTTTTGTATATATATATATTTCATTTTTTATTTGCAAATACACTTTGCATTGAATAGAAAGTACTGAATAAAATTTAATTTAACACTTTAAATATTACTTGAAAGATAAACATTAATTTAATCAAGTTATATAATCTTTATAATGAATTAAATGAAACCTTTGTATAAATCACTATTTGAATAGTCTCCTTAATTCGAATAGTCTCCTTAATGTCAATCAATTATGTTCTTCGATGAACCAAATCCCCATCGATCAACAAAACAAACAATATATAACTCACAAGCTTCTTCGAAAACAAATGTACTTAATCTATATATATATATATATATATATATATATATATATATATATATATATATATATATATATATATACATGAAGCTTGCAAAAATCAGCTCTTCAAAGAGTACTCGACTGATGTTAAATACCAAGTTAAAACAAAACTTCTGTTTCTTAACATAAAAATCTATACACATTTATAAATCAAGATTTGTTATAACAATATATATATGCATATATATATATATATATATATATACACATATATCAATTACTATAATTTTATTACATGTGCTCAACGACTTACCACATAACCAACAAATCGCATTCCAAACTTCTCCAACACATTTCTTTAAATTTGCACTTGAGAGTTTAAATTTAAATTAAATAGTTTACAAAAACACTTTAGCATAAAATCAAAGTACATATTTAACACTAGCACTTTATAAATCATTGTTAAATTAACAATAAGACTGTAAAATTAATACTGACTAAACGATTTTTGCAATTTGTTAAATTTGCTGAATGACAGTTAACGCCATTTTGCATTTTGCGCAGAAGACGAAAAAATGTTTGAAATTTTTGGATAAAGTCAGGTCCGTATTTTAAATAATAATAAACTAATATATTTAATATATAATATATACTTTGTTATATGTTGTTTTTTTGTTACATCACAGGTATTTATATATATTTATGTGTATAATTAATATTATTTAAATTTGCCATTTTGTTACTAACTTAATACCACATTTGACAGTTCAAAATAGTGCTTAGTACTTTGTCAATATTTTTTATTTCAAAAGTACTTAAGTGAATTTATAAATACTTGTCAATGTAATTACATTACTACATAATTATATAAAAATAGAAATTCTAATTTAATTCTATAAATATTATTATTAATTTATTTGTGAAGGAAGGAAACTCCGACCCTTAACCGTTGCGTTAATAGTTGTAGCTTATGCTGATAGAGGCGCGCCAGTTGCCTTAATTTAATTTAAACCTCTTGTACGATGTTCATGTTCTAGATTAAAGCGGTTTATTTAAATTTTAGGTTTAAAAGTGATGTAATGAATAAAGATAATAAGGATCTAAAAATTAACTCTACTGACAAGCAAACTACAAAAAGAAGCATAAAAACGAAAAAAAGGGTGCGCGTAAGGATCACACGCGATTGAAGTAAAACTTATTTGCTATTGTACAAAGAAGCAAATTTAAGTTAAGTAAAAATAAATACATCATATAACAATTTTGAATAATGTTAATATTAGTAATATGGTAACATTTGTGATGCATACATTTATTAGTGTCAGCTGTCAATCATTATACACATTTATATAATGATAAATTATAAATTATATATTTATGATTGCATTAAAAATATGTATAATATTTACAAACAATAATGTAATCAAAGTCGTACTTGAAATATGACATGATCGGTTTAAAGTAATTGCTGATTAATAAATTCTATAATATTCATTCACACAGTGGATTATGTTAAATAACGCCAAAACAAATATTGTTTTTGCAAATTAACTCATCCTGTAACAATTTTGTTTGAAGAACTTCATGTAATTAAAATTAACATACATTCATTGACTGCTTGTATTTTTTTTACTTTTTCGCTGACGATATGATCTCATTCCTTGAACAGCTGTAATATCCGTCCTGCCTAACAAATTGAAGCCATACTTATATTTCTTTTATTTATCAAGCCCTGCACATAGCTTGATCTATGAATCATTTTCTTTTTTATGTGAACGTTAATGCAATGATCATCATCAATATTACGAGGTAATAAATTAACCATATTATTAATGTCAACAGGCATATTTATAATTTGTCCAAATATTCCAAATTGCCCATTTGCATGTCTCAATCGTCTAATTTGCATGAGTCCCTTTCTCCCAATTTAATTTTTAGTTTGCTCGTCAGTAGAGTCCCTTTCTCGCAATTTTATTTTAAATTTGCTCGTCAGTAGAGTCCCTTTTTCGCAATTTTATTTTTAGTTTGCTCGTCAGTAGAGTCCTTTTTTGGCAGTTTTATTTTTTAGCTTGCTCGTCAGTAGAGTTCCTTTCTCGCAATTTAATTTTTAGTTTGCTCGTCAGTAGAGTCCTTTTTCGCAATTTTATTTTTACCTTCCCGAAGGAGAAGTTTATGTTTTCATAAAAAAATCCGATTCTCTAATTTTATGTTTTCGCGACGTTTCAAGCCATTCTGAATCGAATGAGACCAAATTTGGAAAAAGTATGTGTGTGTGTGTATGTGTGTGTGTGAACAGATTTTTTAGCTTGCTCGTCAGTAGAGTCTTTTTTTCGCAATCTTATTTTAAATTTGCTCGTCAGTGGAGTCCCTTTTCGCAATTTTATTTAAATTTGCTCGTCAGTAGAGTCCTTTTTTAAATACAGAAGAAAGAATAAAACAAAATTATAATAAAATTAATTGAAAATATAATCAATGTTTAAATAATGTTTTCCTAGTGGACTCTACTGAAACGCGGTTCTTAACTCAACTTATGATAACATCCTCCCAAGAACTAAACCAACTTGAAGTTAGCTAAAACTATAATTTAAAAATTTCCGTTTCAATTCAAACACTTTTGTTTTCAATTTTAATAAACTTTATTCAAAAATAATGCAATAACATTAATTACAAATTTAAAATTATATTTTTCGCATATAGATATATAATATAATTATATATTATAAACTATTATATTTATATTTATATATATAACACTATAATAGCTTAAAATTAAGAAAATAAAAAAAAATTGCCTAGAAATACTAAATTCATTTATAAGTCCCACTTAGCACTGCGAGGCGACAAGGAATATATATATATATATATATATATATATATATATATATATATGAATATATATATTTGCCGCCATATATATTTATATTTAATATATTATTTATTATTTATAATCTTATGTACAGTCAATTGTCTTATAAACTAATTTAAACCAAGGGATAAGTGACGTCACAAAAGCAAATATATATATATATATATATATATATATATATATATATATATATATTAATCGCCTTTTATTCTGTTTGCAACGGATTTCCTTTGTGTATTTTTGTATAAAAGAATTTTTTTCTCCTAAACTAAGAAGCGCAGAGTTCCGAAACCAAAATTGTTAGATAGTAGATACTTTGTATTATATTATATATTTTTTGCAAATTTTTAGCACTGTTGTAAGTATTTGTAAAAATCAAAATGTATTTGTATTGCATGGTTTTCCTATGCCGAAAAATCGGTATAAAGTGACGTCACCAACACGACGCGTGTCTTTTATCATACATTCTTAAGTCTATTTATTATTTACAACTATTTCTAAATGTTTGTTTGAAAATGTTTAAAATGAATTTATAAAAATTACAAATCAAGAATGGAAAGTAAGTTTTAAATAGAAAGCGAAAATGTAATTCATATGTAAAAATTAACTAAAAGATTTAGGATTAGTTTAGTAACGATGGCGTCATTAAAGACAATTGCATTTAGGTAAAGATTTTGTTTATGAAAATATTAGAGAAAGTTAAGAAAAAGAAGAATAAATTAGAAAGACAGTTTAAGATACAGAAAACAATATAAATTGTAAAAACTACTTGAAGATTTAATACTTGTTTAGTAACGATGATGTAATTAAGGACAATTTTCTTTAAGTAAAGATTTTGTTCATGCAAAAATTAGGGAAAGTTTAGAAAGTCAACAGAAAAAGTAATAAATTAGATAGAAAGTCTGAGATAAAAAAAAACAATATAAATTGTAAAAGCTACAAGAAGATTTAGTATTTGTTTAGTAACGATGACTAAACGTTATTAAGGGCATTTTTTTTTGAAAATTTTATTATTATATGAGAGAAAGTTTAGAAAGTCTACAGAAAGAAGAATGAATTAGAAGTTAACTAGACAGTTAAGTCAAAGAAAGCAAGTAAAAATTGAATAAAAAGTTTAGTATTGATAGAATTTGTGAAATTTGAGGAAAGCATGAAGTACAAAATACGTATTAGAAAGAAGGAAATAGCATAAAGAAAATATTAAAGTAGAAAGACCTTGTAATTTGAGAAAAAAAATATTTTTACATAAAAATATTATAAAGTAATATAAAAAGACAGGTATTGGAGAAAAGTGTGAAATGTGATAAACATTATGACATTGAAAAAAAGTATAAATTAGAAAGATTCAATAGAAAAAATAGAAAGCACAGATGAAATATCATTAGAAAGCACTATAATTATAAATTTAAAAATAGAAAAAAGTAAATTAGAAAGATTTGATTAGAAATAAGTGTAAAATTAGAAAGAGACAATTAGAAAGTTTAAATTGAAAAAAAAATAGAAAATTGAAAGAAAGCTTAAATAATAGAATCAAAAAGTATAAATGAAAAAGCCTTAGTTAGAAAAATGTATAAAATTGAAAGAAAGCTTAGTCGTAAAAGGAAGTTTAAATCACACAGAAAGCATGTTAGAAAGTATAAAGTAAACTATTATGATTGAAAAAAGTATAAATTTGAAAAAAAGTATAGAAGCGAAAGTTGTAATTGTAAAGAAAGTATTATTGAAAAGATCTTATAAGAAAGAAAGTATAAAATTTGAGAGAAAGCCTAAACTAGAAAGTTTAAATCGTAAAGAAAGCACAAAATTAGAAATTATGAGTTGAAAAGCTCTAATCAGAAATAACGAAATGAATTCGTAAAGAAAGCACAAAATAAGAAAATACAAATGAATAACTTAGTTAGTAAGAAAGTATACAAAATTTAAAAAAAGCTCAAACTAGAAAGTTTATTTTGTAATTGGCGCAACAAATTAAAAGGTATAAATAAAATAGCCTAATAAGAAAGATGCACAAATTTTGAAGAAAGTCCAACTTAAAATTTGATACAAATAAAATATAATTTATAAAATTGGAAAGTATAATTTTTCATTAATCATAACTTAAAAGAAATGTAAAAAGAAAGTTGTGACAGAAATATTATATATAAAAATACGGTCGTGAATTTTAAAATTAGAAAGAAAGCCTAAAAATGAAAGAAAGCATCAATAATATAGTTTAAATTGTAAGATAGAAAAGCAGAAAGTATGTAAACAAAAAACAGTTTAAAATAAGTTGAAATAGAAAAAATATAATAAATAGAAAGCCTGAATTAAAAAGAAATATAAAATTGAAAGTAATTCTCAATAAAAACATTCAATTGGAAGAAAATATATACTAGAGAAAGTCTAGATAAGAAATTAGAAGAAAAATAAAAATGGAAAGTTTTAATTGAAAAATAGTATAAATTAGAAAGCTTCGAGAAAAAAGAAAGTTTAAAGTTTAAAGAAAGCATGAATTTTATAGTTAAAAAAGACAGGCTAGACATAATTAAGCAGAAAGAAAGAATAAATTAGAAAGTTTAGAATAACAATAGTTAGAATGCCAAATTTAGAAAGTAAAATATTGAAAAAATGGATTTAAATTAATGAGTCAGTATATTAAGTAAAAAGTAAGTATATTTGAAAGTTTCAATCGACACGAAAATATGAAACAAGAAAGTAGAAAGTTAAGTTAGAAAGTTTTAATTAGTAAATACAAAGTTTGAATAAAAATCTGTAATAAAAGTATAATTTTGAAAGCATAAAAAGAAAGAAATAAAAAAAGAATTTAAAAAATTAGAAAGCCGAATTTTAAAAATATAAATCAAGAAGCACATATCTTTTAGTAGAGTTTTTGCAGCAAAAATAAACTTTAAGAATATAAAATATAAAATTCATAAAAACATATGCTTTCTAATTTACCAAACGGGAATATTTAGTAAGGCACATTAATTGTAATTTTTATAAATTTAGTTTATTTGCGTCTTCATCTGTAATATTATTAGTAATAATACAATTGAAGTAAAACTTCTTAGGAATGACATTTCACATTCGACAACCAACAATTTCGAATTTATTTATTTATTCTAACACAATTTTAGTTATTTGTTTTTCACAATATCCTAAGAAGTTTCACTTCGTCTTAAATAAATTAGAAAACATAATATCAAACACTAGATTATTAGTGTTTAAGAAATTTTGTATGGTATTTTAGTTTGTTATTTAATTTATTTATTTAAAAAATATTTGAATATATATATATATATATATATATATATATATAATCAATTATTTTTACTATATAATGAATATATATATATTAATACTAATCAATAAAAATAATAATAAAATATATAAAAATTTAACGCAATTTAAAATATCTAAAATTTGGAATTTTGAATTATATATATATATATATATTTATATATATATATATAAATATAAATATATATGTATATATATATATATATATATATATATTATTTATAAACTTGGTTTTGAATGAACAAAAGCGATGCGAACGACAAATTTCAAGAGCGAAAGAGAACGACATATACACAACTAGTGAGAGTGACAGAGTAAGATATAGTCGAGATGACATTCGGTTTATTTAAAATTTAGTTATATATATATATATATATATATATATATATATATATATATATATATTGTAAAGTTTCGAACAAGAATCCAAAAAGTAATAAAAAACAAAATAGTTTTTTAAATAAACTATTTCTTTATCTATTTATTTATTTACTGTCGACGTTTCGGAACTAGGTACGTTCCATCTTCAGGACATCTGTCAAGAAACAAGATCTTGATGAGATTTAAGCAAACAATATGTTTAAGAAAAGAAAATGGATTTTTCTTAAATAATAAATCAATTGCAAAAAAAATAATAATGTACAGAAATATGATAATATAATCAAAATGAAAATGATAAAAATAAATGAATGGATTATATAACAGGATATTAAAAATGATAAATTTTTTTTGAAAGTTATGGAAAATTTTAAGAAAAGGTTAATGACAAAATTGAATTAATTACCTGTATGTTTGAATATACGTTAGCACTTTTTCACTAAACAAGGTTTATAACAAAAATTGAATTTATGAGTTATTTTTCAGCCGATTAGGTAAATTTTGTAAATCAAAATTACTATAAGTTTTGTCTTTTTTTAAATTATTATTTGAACACCAAACAATATTATTCTCTCGATGTTATGAGATCGGCTGTTGGTAATAAACTAACTAAATCTGAGGCATACACATACGTTGTGTGTGTGTGTTTTTATATGTTTGGATGTAAAAGCTTAAATTATTAATCTTAAATGGAAGTCGATATTAATTGTTTGTCAAAAAGTATAAAAAATTTAAATGAGAATCATGTAATAGGTTGTGATCTGATCTAATGTTAACACTACTAGAAACGTTCATAAGAATAAGACAACTTTCCGCAAATAATCTCCTAAAGATGCAACTTTCATGATATAAGATCTTTGAAGTGAAGTTAAATGAGTGGAATTTTTGTTTTTTATTCCTCTATATATATATATATATATATATATATATATATATATAAATGCAGAATAAATTTATTTAGAAAGTTTAAATTAAAAACAGAAATAAAATGTAAAAAAAAAATATGAGTTAGGCGAGTCAAACTAGAAAAAAAGTATAAATTAGGCAAAAAATTTATTTTAATATTTAAGTCTATATCTATTCTTTCTCTCAATCTTTATTTGATTTCTTGTCTCTCTATCTTTATTTCTGTCTCTACATATATCTTTTCTGTTTATCTATCACTATCCTTATATTCGGTTTATTTAAAATTTAGTATTTTAGTTTTGTAATTATTTATTTGGATATATATATATATATATATATATATATATATGTATATGTTTAATTAATTTGTTAGATATGTTAGATATGTTTAATTAAAAAAAACAGAATATAAAAAAAGTAGGAATTAGATAAGTCAAACTAGAAAGAAAGTATAAATTAGGGAAAATATCAAAATAAAAACCGATATCTATTCTTTCCCTCTATCTCTTGTCTTTATATCTTTATTTCTGTCCCTATCTATTTTTTTTCTCTAGATATATTTTTTGTCTGTCTTTCTATCAATATCTCTCTATCTATTACAGTATTGCTGTATCTTTTTTACTACATCACTCTATCTCTTTTTGTCTTTTTGTCCATTCAAAACCTCAAACTCTTCTACTACAAAACAAAAAAAAACACACAATTACCTTTCTCTGGCTCCAAAATTATCCCCATTTGGCCGCCAAACTATACAAAGATCTAAGAAGCTCCAAAGCACGCGAATCAGAACTATTATGTCTGCCATTTTCCTCAAAACTCTCATTAGAATTAATGCTACCGCCATCTATCGCATGCACTATAAACTTCCTATGCGTTTTGCTCCTGTACGTCGTCACAGATGGCGGTGAAGGACTCTCGGTAAAAGATGGCTCTGTAGTCGTGGTTGGCGCTGCAGTCGTCGTAGTAGTAGTTTCAGGTATAATCGTAGTAGATGAAGTTTGCTTGGTGTCTGTAATGCTATTGACGTCTGTCAGGAAATTTAATGATTTACCTTTGCGATGGTTTATGGTTTCCTGTGGTTCCAACGTTTCGTGTATAAATGTTTTGGAATTTTTTTTAAAAGCGTCTAAGTTTTTGTCTTCGACAGGCATGCTGATTAAGGCGTCCAGTAACGCAGCACGTGACTCCTCGACGGTCTTATCTATGTCCTCGTCGCAAGTTTGGACTAACAGGAGTATCAAACGTCTTACTGTGGTATTTGAATCAGCATGCTTCATAACGTTCATTAAAGTGTTTGCAGTGCTTGCGTTTAATTTACCGAACATTTCTTGTGCACGCTTTTCCATTACCTCGACTGATGCCAAGGCTTTACCTTGTCTCGTTAAACTGGTGCTCAGTTCGGGTTGAAACGTTGTGGGAAAGTCGGAGACCGTTGGTACAGTCGGTATGTAGGTAAAAGGTGATCTAGTGGTCGCACTTGGTTCGAATGTGGTGCTTGTGGTTGGTTCATAGGTGGTGCTGGTGCGCCTGTCATATATGGGTTCGATTTTTGGTTCCAAAGTGGTGTGTATCGTATCGTCCCAGACAGCCGGGAATTTCGATGTGCGCCTATCAAATCCTGACCTAAAATTAGAAAGTATGAATTAAAAAGTCTTATTGTTAGTTAGTAAGTATGAAAAATTGGAAGAAAGTTTAATTCTTAAAGAAAGCACAAAAGAAGAAAGTACAAATTAATAAGTCTCAGTTAGCAAGAAAGTATGAAAAATTTGAAGAAAGTTGATTTCTTAAAGAAAGTACAAATTAATAAGTCTTAGTGTGCAAGAAAGTATGAAACATGGAAGAAAGTTGAATTCTTAAAGAAAGCCAAAATGTTCAGAAACCTTCAAAACGTCGAGAAATGCAAAAATTTTCAATTCCAATTTTCGGCCCATTATAACAACTTACCCTACGGGAAGTTAATAACTCTACTGTCGAGCAAACTTTTAGATAAGACAAAATAGTCTTAAAATGTAATACAAAATATTTAAGTTAAACATATAAATAAATATTAAAACAAAATGGGACTCTACTGACGAAAATGTTGAAAAGAAAATAAATGTCAAAGCAAAAAGGACACTATTGCCGAGTAAATTAAATATATGCATCAAAAAGAAAGGTTTCAAAAATGTTAATACAAAAAGGGACTCTACTGACGAGCAATTAAATTTGTGCAAAATATTGAAATTTTTTTTTAAATTGTTAGTACAAAAAGGGACTCTACTGATGAGCAAAATAAGATAAGAGAAAAAAAAAACAGACTGACTAGAAATTAAATTTATAAATTATCAAAGAATTTTTTTAAAATTGTTAGTACAAAAAGGGATTATACTGACGAGCAAAATAAGATAAGAAAAAAAAACAGACTGACAAGAAATTAAATTTATAATTTATCAAAGATTTTTTTTAAATTGTTATCACAAAAAAGGACTTTACTGACGAGCAAACTGAAATAATTTACAATCCGGCACCTGACGAGCAAACTAGAACGAGAGACAAAAGGGACTTTACTCACGAGCAAAATGAAAAAAGAATAAAAAGAAGTTCTAAACAAAAAAGTTTTAATTGAAAAATATTAAAAATTAGAAAGTTTCAACGAGAAGAAAGTGTAAAATTGAAAGAAAGCATGAATTTTATATTTAAAAAAAATTAATTATAAAAGGAGAAGTTAGACATAAATAAGCAGAAAGAAATTATTAATTTGAAAGCTCAAATTGACAAAAGTTAGAAGGCCGAGAAGAAAAGACTCTACTGACGAGCAAAGAGAAAAAAGAACTCTACTGATGAGCAAACCTAAAATATAAGATAAAATGGTATCTACTGACGAACCAAACTGGAATAAATGACAAAAGGGACTCTACTGACGAGCAAAGTGAAAAAAGAAACAAGAACTCTACTTATGAGCAAACTTTATATAAAAAAAAAATTCAAATTTATAGTTTCTCAAAAATCTAATTTTTTCGAAGTAAAAATTTTTCAAAAATGTTAATCGTTTTTAAAAAAATAATAAGTTTTGGTACGGGAAGTTCCAGCAATTTGCCTTAAGACAGAATTCCACTTACAGCTAGTTTGAAAGCTCAAATTAACAAAACTTAGAAACCCTAATTTATAACCTACAATAATAAAAAAAACATCAAATCCTTACCTGGCACCAAATTCCGTGCTCTGCTCAGGCACCACAGTAGTCTGTATAGGCTGCGTAACCGACGACAAAGTAGTACTCCTAGGCAAATATGTATGAGGCGAAGGCGTCACCGTCTTATCCTCCTCCAGCTCTTGATTTATCGTCAAAGGATCCAAAAATATCGTACTCCTCCATAACTCACCAACAGTCGCCGATGTAGTCCACAAACTCGCTGTCGTCGTAATCGGTGCCTGTGTAGTACTCACGGCGCCCGGGGCCGTAGCCGGGGTCGTAAAGACCCCCGGTGTCGTAGTCTCTACCGGGTTGTAATTTTTGGTCCCAACATCATAATCCAGCACATTACCCCTGGGTACAAAGCTCTGGCTTTGTGACCTCTGCAACTGTTCGCTATTATCCGATTTGGCTTGCCTATGCGTTGCAAAGTGTGTGGTTTGCTCGACCTCGGGCGGCAAAAACTCGCCGCTGGGTTCCAAGATGTTTTGCTGAGCGCCCGAAGGCGGTATTAAATCTACAGCAGGTATTATTAATTCGGGTGCGTTGTCTTCGGGTGTTTTGATTGTGGCCAGGTCTTGGCCCCAGTGCAAAGGTATAGCCTGGACATCAGCCAACGAAGTTGGGTAAGCTATTGAAATTGGGGTGCTGTTCTGGTGCCGTACACCTTGTCCGTAGGGTTGTGCGGGGTTGTGACTTTCTGTCTTATTTTGGGGAAAGTAGTCTGTTGTATCGTTTTGCTCTGACATCCAGGAATCGGAGACAATGATAGTAGATAATGTCGGGCTTGCCTCGTCGTCTGGTCCTAATTTTTTACCTTGGCGGTCATAATATAGCGACTCAGACTTCTCTAGTACATCTGCTATAATGTTGGAGCCCGGTGTTTTATTTTTGTTAACCACAGAGTTTTGTTCAACGTTCGGTATAAAAGTCGTTGGTGGTGGTGGTGTCGTGGTTGTAATTGCATTATTTTTGGTTGTCGTCTTGGATACATCGGAGAAATCCAGTATCTCCTCCTCGTGTTTCACAGTAGCATTCGTAGGTGTCACCACTGTGCTCACATCCACGACTTCATTACTAAACAGAGCTGGTGGTTCTGTAGGTCGAATCTCAGCAAGGACACGTCTGAAAGTTTCAGGATCTTGCAAATACGCCGACAAAGCGTGCGTGAACACCTGCGCGAGCTCGCGAATCTGCGCACTACCCGTGGCATAGTTCAAAGGACCCGAGCTCTGCTGCACCTCCAAATCATTACCGCCTTCGCCACTCCTAACCAAATCCTTATCATCGAAAGTCAAGTTCCTCGGTTTTTCCGCGAATAGCTCTACGTATTTATCTAAAGTGCTTTTACTCAAATGTGCAGATTCGACCACAGCCGGTGTCGCGGTGGTTTCTGGTGGTGTATTTGTGGTAGCTGCAGAACTTGTTGGTATTTCTGTACTGTATGTAGTTGTGGTTGTGGTGGATGGTTTGCTGGTGGTTTGAGGTGTGCTGAATGGTGCTTTGGTGATGAAGTTATCGGGGGCTGTCGCGAAGTATTCGGCAAGGGTGCGGATTGTCTGAGGGCTCGCACTTGGGGGTATGTCTAGACCTACACGTCTGCTTCCTGAAAATATAAATTTGCCAATTAGTTAATTAGAAACCATCAATTTTTAACCTATCGAGAGATAGTGGTCATTTTTTTCTCTTTTCTAAGTTTGCTCGTCAGTAGAGTTTTTTTGTATTAACAAATTTTAAATTAGCAAATTAAATTTTTTAAAATATTGTTTTTTTTTAATTGTTAGTACTGACGACCGAACTTAAAATAAAAGACGAATGGGACTCTACTGATATGCAAACTAAAATAATATATAAAAGGGGACTCTACTGACGAGCAAACTTAAAATAAAAGACAAAAGGGACTCTACTGACGAGCAAACTTAAATTGAATTAAAATGAACTCTACTGACGAACAAACTAAAATAGGAAAGGAAAGGGGGCTCTACTGACGAGCAAATTTTATATAAAAGTCAAAAGGGACTCCACTGTCAACAAAATTAAAATCATATAAAAAGGTATACTACTGACGAGCAAAGTTCAAATAAAATCCAAAAGGGATTCTAATGACGTTTAGAAGAAATGTTAATATGAAAAAGGGACTCTACTGACGAGCAAATTAAATTTGTACACAATATTAAAGTTAAACTTTTAAGTTAATGTTAATACGAAAAAAGGACTCTACTGATGAGCAAAGTAAAATACGATACAAAAAGGACTCTACTGAGAAGCAAACTTAATATTAAATACAAATGGGACTCTACTGCAGAGCAAACTAAAATAGGGGAGAAAAGAGAATCTACTGACCAGCAAACTGAAATAAGAGATAAAAAGGATTCTACTGACGAGTAAACTGAAATTTGAGCAAAATGTTAAAAAGAATCATTGAAAAAACAAAAACTTGAACTTGAAAAAATATTAAAGATTTAAAAAAAAAAATATTAGTACAAAAAGAGAACCTACTGACGAGCATATTGGATTAAAAAACAAAAGGGGCTCAACTGTCAACAAACTAGAATAAGAAAGAAACAAAGACTCTACTGACGAGCAAACTGCAAATAAGAACCAAAAAGGACTCTACTGATGAGCAAATTAGAATAAAATATAATAAAAAAACTATACTGTCGGTTAAAGTAAAATTAGAAGAAAAAAGATACTATTGACGAACAAACTAAAATAAGAGACAAAAGAGACTCTACTGACAAGCAAACTTAGAAAACAGAACGGATTAAAATAAAAGATAAAATATTAAAGGGATTCTACTGATGAGAAAATGAAATTTGTGTAAAATATTAAAGAGAAGCGTTTAAACAAATGTTGAATAGAAAGGGACTCTACTGACGAGCATCATAAGTCTGTGTAAAATATAAGCAAATTAGAGCAAAATATTAAAAAGAGACTTTCAAATAAATGTTGACGCAAAAAGAGACTCTACTGATGATCAAACTAAAATTCCGATTATTAGTCATCGATCTTTTTGTCATGGCAACGTTATGTTATCCTTCATTCTTGATACCAAAAACTGAGAGAGTGCTAACTATTTGTCGTGCAATCAGGCGTATTTTACATATAAACAAAGCAAGACACAATCTTATGATAACTGCATCTTTGTATATATACGGTTTTATATGTAAAATGCGCCTGCTCGCACAGCAAATAGATAGAAATTTCACAGTTTTTACTACCAAGAAAGAAGGATAACATATTATTATCATTACAACAACTATGTTATAGTCTATTTACCTAAGAATTTCTCAGGTCCTTCCTGATCAGCTTCCAACTGTTGCAAAGTTTTGATCATGCCCATGGCATGTTCGTTGACTTTGGATTGCTCTTCTTTTTTTAAAAGACTTTCTTCAAATTTTTTTGTCGTGATTTTCTCAGTGGTTGTGGATAAAGGTGTCGAGACTTCCTCTTGCAGTTTTCTTTGGGTTTTCTTGGCTCCTAGGGAAAAGAAACAGTATTTAACATATATCAAGCTGTCCAATTTCTTTATTTCTTTTCTAAAATAATTAATATTAAAGTCAGACCTTTCCCGCTTCCTCGATTTACAGGGGTCTTTGTAGAAGTTTCGATTTTGTAATTGATCAATTCCAAAGTAGAACTTGAGTTGGAACCATCGGCGTTGTAGTAGTGGTAAAAGTTCCTTTGGTTGCCTTCGATAAAACCGTCGTCGTTGTTGTTCTTGCGAGATGGTTTCAACCTCTCATTGTGAACCTGGAGATAAAGAACATATTAGAATTCACTCTTGACATATACACCACTTTATAATATCAATTGGAAAACTGAAGGAAAGATAAATTGACAAGAAAGCATAAATTATAAAGTAACTTGAAGAAAGTATAAAAATGAAAGGGCTCTGGAACCCTGGAACTACATCTCTTTTCATCTGTATCCATTTTCTTTTATCTTCGTTTTCAAAAAGCTTCAATTGATAAAAAGGTAAAAAGTAAGGGTTAGAAATCTTAAATTGAAAAGCAAATAAAAAATTGATTTACCAAGAGTACTTTTTTTACATGTAACCTTGCCAATTGTGCTTGCCTAAAAAATATATCTCTATCTCTTTTTTCTATGTTTATCTTTTTTAATTGTACTCTCTTTCTGCGTCTTTCTCTCTCTATCAATATAATTTCTTCTTTCTATCTCTTTTATTCTGTACTTTAATTTTCAATAGAGACTCTATTGATTTTTAGTAGAGATTTTTAGTTTTAGTCAGTTTGATCATGAGTAGAGTCCTTTTACCCTATAATATCAGTTTCATCGTCAGTAGAGTCCTTTTACCCTATATCAGTTTGGTCGTCAGTAAAGTCTCCTTTTCTTTCATTTTTAGTTTGCTCATCAGTAGAGTTTCTTTTTTATTTCAGTTTGCAGGGCCTGGCAATATCCTAAATAGTTGAAAAATGTTCTTGATGGACTAAAAATGTTCTAGATGATCTGAAAACGTTTTAAATATGTACATCCTAGAACCTACTAACCAGCAAATGATTGAATAATATATTAAGGAACTCTACCGACGAGAAAAATATTCAATATTATTATTAAATTAAATATTAATTTGTGTTTGCAAGAGACTCTAGTAACTCAAATCGAACGAAAAAGAAGTCTACTGACGAGCAAACTAAAATTAAAAGAAAAGGGATTCTACTGGCGAGCAAACTGAAATAAAAGAGAAAAAAGAACTCTACTTACGACCAAATGATTATATAATCTAGAAAATAATAAAAACGGACTCTACTGACGAGCAAATTAATAAATTGTAGAAAATAAAAAAGGAACTCTACTAACGAGCAAACTCAAAACAAACGAATACAGAACTCTACTGACGAGCAAACTGAAATTATAGAAAGAGGGACTCTACGGATAAGAAAATTAAAATAAAATATAATATAATAAATAACAAAAGTAACTAGTGGTGTATGGCATCGTGTCTCAAGGCAAATTGCTGGAACTTCCCGTACCGTAATGAAATATTCGAGAAATTTTAAACGTTTTCAAATATATCTGAGCAAATCAACAATAACAATCGTCATTTCATTTCGCATTCAAATTGAAAAAAAAATAGTTGCCTAATTTTGCACAAAATTGAAAAAGTGCTCCCGTACAGTCACAGTCTAAACGCATTTGCAAATAATTCTGTGCGACATTTTCACTTATACTGTGCTTAACTTGGCGGCATTTTCACATTTTCAATAGTTTTCACAAAATTGAAAAAGTGTTCCAGTACATAAACAGTCTAAACGCACTCGGGTGCAACATTTGTACCAGAGTGGCGCTTAGACTGTGCTTAGCCTGGGTAATTTTTTTTTGAATTTTTTGAATTTTTAATCCAAAATTACAAAAATATTTTATGAAAAATAAAAAAAAATGTAATAGTAACCTGAAAAAAAAAACAAGTAAAAACATCTTTTTCCCTCCCAAAGTCAAAAAATCCCTTCTACTTATCCCTTACTTACCTGAGCAGTGACACTTGTCCTATAATTATTCGAATCCGTATAATGTGGCAGACTAACACTAGTCGAATGTCTCGTTCCCTTTTTGCTCTCCGACGAACTATCATCGTTTTCATATTCCGAACTATATTCAAAACTCGAGTATTGCCTAGAGTTTGTAAATTTCCTCGAATTCTCCGCCTGGTAATGGATCTTTCCCCGGTTCGGAGTCACGGTGGAAGATTTGCGAGAGAATTGAGACGATTGGTTCGGATGATGGGTGGATTGGTGGTTCGGATGATGGGTGGATTGGCGATTATTGTTGGTTCTAGAGGATGATGGTTTGGGGTTTAAATGGAATTCGGCGGATTCGTGAAGTTGTTCTTCGAGGAGAAGAGGTTCGTTGGAGGGTAAGGAGGGTAAGGATATTATGGGGATTGAGTGAGAGTTTTCGTAGGCTGGTAGAGGGTTGGTGGAGTGGCAATCGACCTGAAAAAAATAAGAAAATGAAAAAATATAAATATAACATAATTTACTTAATTTTGTTTGAACATGTTACTGTAATAGTAATTGCTATTTTCGGTTGCATGTTTTATCGCATATGGCAACACTAAGGGATCGATGCAGTTTATGTGTAAAACGCCTGAATGAACAGCAAATACATGTCATTTTGACAGTATTCAGTATGATTTTTTTTTAATTATATATATATATATATATATATATATATATATATATATGATACAGTTTTGCAGCCACAAGTCGAAAAATAAAACAAGAACGTAAATATAAATCTTTTTAGTACGTTTCGAGCTATTCTGCTAGCTCATCATTCAGCTAAAAAAACAAACAGAGTAATAAAACAAAGTAACAAAATACAATAAAACAGAATTAAAATTATACATACCAAACCAAGTTATTAAAGTTGTAAGTTATTAAACATTCAAAAAAGCATTTTGTGTAAAATTTGACAAATATGAATATTTTGTTCTAAGAACAAAAAACAAAAAAATATGTATATATATATATATAAAATTTTAAAAAATGAAATCAAGTAATCGAAATATATCGAATGAAAGATAAAAGAAAATAAAAGAAAATATCAAGTGGTAAAAAAATTGTTCAAATATTAAAATAAATCAGATTTACATATGTTAATTAAATTTTGATAGCTGTCAAAAAGTAAGGAAGAAGAAGTTCTCTTATTAACACAATCAGAATTTAAAAAAATGAAAACAGATTCAGCAAATCTTCTCAGGTCAACATTTTGTTCAATATATAAAATAACTGGATTGTTTAGGTCAAATGTGTGTTTAGAATTTTGCATATGGTCTGAAAGCATTGTTTTATATTGATTTTTATTATTTGAATTATATTTATGTTGAAGCATTCTTTTGTATATATACTGTGAACTCTCCCCAATATAGAATTTTTCACAATCATTACAATTCACCTTGTAAACGGAGTCAACAATTCTATTTTGTGGTGTTTTTGATTTTAAAGGAGTATACAAAGAATTTAGAGTATTTTCAAATTTGGAAACTAAAAGAAAACCTTCTTCAGAAAATATCTTTTTTAAAAAATAAGTAAAAGTGCCTAAAAATGGTAAGGAAATAATACCTTTATAACGATTTAGAAAAGATGAAGAATTTATTGAACTAGTATCAATAGGTGACGAAAGGTTATTATTATTCGTGTTAATTTTATTATTATTTAAATACTGCATACGGGTTTTTATAATATTATTAACTAATTTTAACGGATATGAATTGTCTACAAGAATTTCGCGGATTAAATTTAAATTTTTGTTCCAAAAGATGTAATCACTTAAAAGAATAGCTCTATCAATTAATGAAATAATAATAGAAATTTTGATCGAACGGGAATGAAAGGAAAAATAGTTAATGTAACGACCGGACCAAGTTGGCTTTTGATACCAGTTTGTATAAATTTTGTTATTATTAAATCTAATAATTTTAATATCTAAAAAGCTAATAGAATTGTCAACCTCTTGTTCACAAGTGAACTGCAAATGTTTACTGAAAGAGTTAAAACAATTCAATGTATGGTTCATATAGTTATTATCTAAACACAAAAGAATGTCATCAACATATCTAAAATATATGAAGGGTTGAACAGGAAGTTTAGGCAAAACAGAATTTTCTAGAAGTTGTAAAGTCAAATCAGCAAGAGGGGGACTAACACTAGAGCCCATTGGCAAACCAAAAATCTGTGAATAAAATTTATTTTCAAAACAGAAATAAGTATTACTAAATTAATATTATATTATTACTAATTTTAATTCTGTTTTATTGTATTTTGTTACTTTGTTTTATTACTCTGTTTGTTTTTTTAGCTGAATGATGAGCTAGCAGAATAGCTCGAAACGTACTAAAAAGATTTATATTTACGTTCTTGTTTTATTTTTCGACTTGTGGCTGCAAAACTGTATCATATAATGTTTCAAAGTCGAAACAAACAATATCAAGATATATATATATATATATATATATATATATATATATATTAGGGTGGTCCTTAAAATGGTCATTTTCGAATTTCCTTGCTCCCAGGGGCTCAAATTGTTCCAAATTGATAAAAAACAATTCTCTGAAAGTTTTAGCTCTTAATATTAACGTTTAGATAGAGCGCAATTCAATCAAAGTTTTGTATGGAAATAGCACGGAAAAATTTTCAAAAATTTTAAAAATGTTTTTTAGATGTAATTTAGCGAACAAATGAATGAATAAAACTCCTTCATTTGTCGCTAAGTTACATCTAAAACATTTTTTTTTAATTTTCAAAATTTTTTCCATGCTCTATGTATTATTATATATATACATTATTTTCATATTTCAGTCAGACATAGGTGCCTGGTATGAGAGACTGTGAAAAACAGTTTTCATATTTTATATATACATTTCATTTCACTATTTCAATAATATAATATCTATTATAATTAAAATATCTTTATATATAATATGCTATAATATAAGTTCCGCCATCTATTTTTATTATTATTATCATTAAATTTTTACATTTCTTTACGTTTCAGTGGTTTGTGAACATTTTGGTATAACTCATTGTTAGAAGTGTGTGATACAAATTATTTCCTTCGAATTTTTAAAGAAATACAACTAGTTCTAGAAAATATTTACAATTATTACCCTATAATATTGCAAATATACTTGTGCTTGATTATAATCAAGACTGTGCTTATATAATTTTTTTTAACAATTTTTTTAAACTAAACAAGGGACTCTACTGACGAGCAAACTAAAAATAGATGCTCTACTGACAAGCAAATTGAAATACAGCAAAAATAAAAAGAACTCTACTGACGAGCAAACTAAAAAAAGAACTCTATTGATGAGCAAAATAAGAAAGAAAATCTACTGACGAGCAAATTGAAATAACGCTAAAATAAAAGAGACTCTACTGATAAGCAAACTAAAAAAGGGACTCTACTGACGAGCAAATTAAAATAAAACAAACATAAAAGAGACCATACTGATGAGCTAACTAAAAAAGGGACTCTACTGATGAGCAAACTAAAAAAGAAACTTTATTAATGCGCAAAATACAAAAAAATACTGACGCGCTAATTAAAACAAAGCAACAATAAAAGGGACTCTACCGACGACCAAACTAAAAAAAGACTTCTACTGACTAGCAAACTAAAAAAGAGACTCTACTGAGAATCAAATAAAGCAAGAATAAAAAGGACCTACTGATGAGCAAACTAAAATAGAATATAACAGAAACTCTACTGACGAGAAAATTAAAGTAAGTGGAAAAAAGGAACTCTACTGACAAGAAAACCGAATTAAAATAGAAAAGAACTCTACTAACAAACAAACAAAAATGAAAAAAACGATAGGAAACTCCACTGACGATCAAACTAAAATGGGAGAAGATTAAAAAGGACGAGCTAACTGAAACTAAAAAGAGAAGAAACTCTACTGATAAACTGTAATAAGAAAACAAAAGGACTCTACTATCAAGCAAATTAATAATAGAAAAAGATAAAAAAAGATTGAAAAGCAAAAGTAAAATAAAAGCATAAGAGACTCTACTAACGAGCAAACTGAAAAAAAAATTAAAAAAATTTACTGGCTAAGTAAATCAAAATTAAAACTAAAAAACTCTACTGACAAGCAAACTAAAATGAAAGAGGAAAGGAACTCTACTGAGTAACTCAAACTGAAATAAAAGGAAAAATCTAAAATTTAACAAGAGGACCCTACAGACGAGCTAAATAAAATAAAAACGAGCCTATTTAAAAAAGGGCCTCTAGTGATAGGCAAACTTAAATAAAATGAAAAAGTACTAGTAATTAGAAAAATTATATTATTTACTTAATAATTTTTCAAAAATGGTGATTAAAAAGTTTATATTAATATATTTGTATCAAAACAAAAACACCGGTTGACAGTGGAAAGTAAATGACATGGATAAAATATGAATCATAGATTGAATAAACTAAATGGATAGTTTATAATTAATTTTGAATTGAAATTTAAAAAAAACGGGATAAAAAGTATACTATGTCCTTCTCCTGGCTCTAAACTATCTTATTGCCAACTTTCAGCTAAATCGGTTCAGCCGTTCGTGAGTTATAAGTGTTGTAACTAATACGTCGTGTTAGTTGCAGTTCTCTTTCATATATATAGATGGCAACACAAAGGTATGGACGTATAAAATAATTGGTACGTGCACTTGTGTTATACTTGTAAATAAAAATAGTGGAAAAAGTGCTATTTGGAGGTTAGGTTTTGAAACAGTTGAAAGTAAAATTTAAATAAAACAAAAATTTCAACAAAACATTGAACGACATATACTAGTAAAGAGTAATTTTAGGAGAAAGGGACTCTACTAACGAGCAAACTATTAATAAGTAAAGATTAAGGGAATCTACTGACAAGCAATGTGAAATAAAAGGACAAAAGGACTCTTCGAATAAGCAAGTTAAAATAGAAAAAAAATCTACTGAAAAACAACATAAAATAAAAATAAGAAAAATTACTGACAAGTAAATTAAAATAAAATGTCAAAAGGACTCTACTGACGAGCAAACAGAATTAAAATATAGAAGTGATTCTACTGACAAGCAAACTAAGTTTTAACAAGATTGGCAAAACGGACTCTACTGACGAGCTAAATGAAAGAAAAAACGAGAAAAAAATGAATTGAATTAAAAGAGCAAAAGGACTTTACTAACGAGTTAGTTAAAATAAAAAAAAGACTATACTGACAAATAATCTAAAATAAAAATAAAAAAAACTACTGGCAAGTAAATTAAAATAAAAGGAAGTTTTTTTCGAAATGGTATGTAAAGTGTAATAGATATACTGATAATGAGTTACATGTTTTATCTCATATGGCAACACTATGGATATAACACTAAGCATTTCTAAATAATTGTTCAACCTAATTATAATCACGTGATTTACAGTTTTAACAAACTCTACTAACGATCAAACTAAAACAGTGAATTTATGGTCAAATACATTTAAGGTTACATTAAATGTTTTTTTGTTATATGGCAACACCAAGAGGCAAAATAAACATGAAGTCGAACTAATGTGTTTTTGACATTTGTACTATTCGGAGGTTAGGTTTTGACAGTTAGAGTACCAAACTAATGAGCAAACTAAAAAAAGAACTCTACTGACAAACAAACCGAATTAAAATAGAAAAGGGACTCTACTGACGAGCAAACAAAATGAAAAAACAAAAAGGAACTCTACTGACGATCAAACTAGTAATATGAGATATGAGAGTACCAAAAATTTAAGTAAAACAAAAATTTAGATAAATTCTTATATTAGTAAAAAGCCATTTTAGAAAAAAATGGACTCTACTAATGAGCAAACTGAAATAAATGAAGAAAGAGTCTCTACTGACGAGCAAAATAAAATAAAAGTAGAAAAGGAGTCTACTGACAAGCAAAGTATGTTCTAACACAATTCGTAAAAATAACTGTCCTAATGAAATAAAAGCGAGAAAAAGCTTTTAACGAGCAAAAAAAGGACTCTACTGACGAAATAGAGGAACAAAAAATTCTACTGACGATCGAGAAATGAAAAAACTGATTTTAACTAAATTTGCAAAAGAGACTCTACTATCAAGCGACCTAAAAAAAGAAAGAAACTCTACTGGCCAATAAAAGAAAAATAAGAGATTCTAGTCATGATAAAAAAAAGCAAACTAATAGTAAGAAAAAATAAAAGGGACTCTACTGACGATCAAACTATTAATATGAAAAGATAAAAGGGGACTCTACTGACGAGCAAGCTGAAACTAAAAAGAAGAGAAACTTTACTAATAAACTGTAATAAGAAAACGAAAGGACTCTACTGACAAGCAAATTAATAATAGAAAAAGATTAAAAAAGACTCTACTGACAAGCAAATTGAAATAAAAAAAATAAAGAACTCTACTGACGAGCAAATTATATTTTTACTTTGTTTGCTAAAGAAACTACTGACGAGCAATAAAAAATAAAAAATAAAAAGACTCTACTGACGAGCAAACTAATAATGGAAGAAAATTAAAAAGGACTCTACTGACGAAAAAGGCCGAAATAAAACGTAAAGGGACTCTGCTGACGAGCAAAATAAAATAATACAATGAAGAGATTCTACTGACGAGCAATTTACAATAGAGTTGAAAAGGGACTCTACTGGCGAGAAAACAAATAGGTTGTAAAAAAGAACTCTACTGACAAGCTGAATAATTTAAGAGACAAAACAAACTCTACTGACGAGCAAACTAAAATGGGAGAAGAATATAAAACTTTACGGATGAGCAAACTAATAAAATTAAAATAATAAAAAACTCTACTGTTGATCAGACAGAAATGAAAGAGAAAAGGAACTCTACTGACGAGCAAACTAAAATAAAAGAAGAAAGGGACTCTACTGACGAGCAAAATAATTTTAACAAGATTGGCAAAATGGACTCTACTGACGAGCTAAATGAAATAGAAACGGGGAAAAGGCCCTTAATGATCAAATGAAAATAGAAGGTTCCTACTGATGAGCAAACTAAAATAAAAAAGAAACCGAGGAAATTTGTAAATGAATAGTAAATTATATTTTACAAAAAAGAACTCTACTGGCAAGCAAATTTGATACTTTTTACAAATATCAGTTTTTTCATTTTAGTGAAGTAAGTTTTGGCAAGAATTCGCAAAAGGAATTCTACTGACAATTAAGCTAAATTAAAAGGAAAAAGGACATTACTAATAATCTACCTTAAATATATAATAAAGGGGAAAAAACGAATGTCTTATTTTATATAAGGCCTAAGAAAAGTAGTGAAGAACTTTACATATACCTTAATTGAATAATAAAAAATAATAATAATGCAATTATTATTTTGGCAATAAAAATAATTAGTTATTATTTATTTTTACCTTGAACCACCAATCGCAGATCAAATCTTGCTGTTTAAAAATCGTTCCATTTGGACAAAGGAAGGAAATTTTGCGACCGCCATCACAAATATGGAAAACCTGTTAAAATATTAAAATTAACATTATTAATATTATAAAATATATTAAAAAAATAGTATAAATATAAATTAAAAGAACCGACAATAACTATTAGAAATGTAACGGTTAATTTTGACGTTTGACAGTTCATCGAATAAGAAACAACTTCAGAGCTTATGCATTTTGTACAGTACAAAATACAGTTATTTGCATCGAATATCGGTTCTTTATATATTTTATTCTATAAAAACATAACAAGATACAACAAAAATTAATTTGATATTATATTAATACAATAATGTAAGTGCTTTGTATTATATTATTTAACTATATTTTCAATACTGATGCAAATAGTTTTAGAATGAACATTTATAATTGATTTTTGAGGGTAACAATTAATTTCAACGTTTGACAGTTGAACTAATAAAGAAGAACTTCACAGCTTATGTAATTTGTACGCTTTTAAATGCAGTTATTTATATGTAAAATGAATTTTATGATTCAACTAAAATAATAACTTGTCAGACAATCAATTTATATATTTATTTGTCAATTTTACCTGACAGTTCGTTTCCAAATCGGCATAGTATCCTCCGGGAGTTCCTCTACAATTGAATTGTGTTTGAGGAATTCCGGTAAATGCCGGAAAATCTACACCAGGTCGTCCCATTACGCCCTGGTAGATCTGGTACTCTACTTCCTAAAAAGTATACATTTAGAGGTTATAATTGCCTTTCTAAAAACTAGAAAAAACCTAGAAGTTATATGAAGTTCTTAAAGTTATCATCGACTTTCTAAAAACTTTGAAAGCAATAAAAAAAATCATTAAAACATAGAAATTACTGAATTGAAAATTAGAAAGATAGGAAGTATTTATAAAAAAATGAATAATTTTATTCGGTTCATAGAAGTTTTTCATTATTTACATACCTGATTTCCAATAGTGTCTTCAATTGGACTCGTCGCCATCTTTTACTATGAACTTTAGCAGCCAAATCGACATTTTGATTTGCATTAGCGCTGTCTAATTCTTCTAAAGTCGTTTTTGTCTCTACATTTTGCTCGGCATAGTATCCTCCGGGAGTTCCTCTACAATTGAATTGTGTTTGAGGAATTCCGGTAAATGCCGGAAAATCTACACCAGGTCGTCCCATTACGCCTGGTAGATCTGGTACTCTACTTCCTAAAAAGTATACATTTAGAGGTTATAATTGCCTTTCTAAAAACTAGAAAAAACCTAGAAGTTATATGAAGTTCTTAAAGTTATCATCGACTTTCTAAAAACTTTGAAAGCAATAAAAAAAATCATTAAAACATAGAAATTACTGAATTGAAAATTAGAAAGATAGGAAGTATTTATAAAAAAATGAATAATTTTATTCGGTTCATAGAAGTTTTTCATTATTTACATACCTGATTTCCAATAGTGTCTTCAATTGGACTCGTCGCCAATCTTTTACTATGAACTTTAGCAGCCAAATCGACATTTTGATTTGCATTAGCGCTGTCTAATTCTTCTAAAGTCGTTTTTGTCTCTACATTTTGCTAAAAAGACAAAAATTAATAAATAAATGTACAAAACACAATATGAATAAATTAAATACGATTTTTAAATGTTTAATAACAAAAATTAAATCATTTATAACAATAACTTTATAATCCTAATACTAATTTTAAGAATATAAATCTATTATTATTATTTAGAAATTCAAAAAGTAACGAACAAAACCATTCAAAATTCCAACTTCACATCGCTTGTACTTTATCACTTTGCCACCAACTTCACACCTTAAGCACAATGCCTTTAGCCTTTAGCTTTAAATGAATACTAGTACTGAAAAAAACTCAAGTGAAATGAAAGGAAAAAGGACTCTACTGACGAGCAAATTGATAAAAAAACTATTTTTTGTAATTGATTGAAAAATAGAAAGGTGAGTAAATTGAATTGATGAGTAAATTGAATTAGAGAGAAAAGGGACTCTACTGACAAGCAAATTAATATTTTTTATAAATAAACTACTTTTAGTATTATATATAAGCAGAAAGGGACTCTATTGACGAGCAAAAAAAAAGAAAAAATAAGACACTACTGACGAGCAATCTTAAAATAATTAAATTAAAAAGAAAAGGAAAATCTATTGAAGAGCGAAAAGAAATGGAAGAGAAAAAAGACTCTACTGACGAGCAAAATAAAATAAAATCGAGAAAAAGGACACTACTGACAAGCAAATTAATTAGAGAAAGTGAATTTTTAGAACGAAACAGAAAATCGATGAGCAAACTCAAAATTGAAAGAAAAGGGGACTCTACTGACTAGCAATTTCCAAAATAAAGAGCAAAGGGACTCTACTGACAAGCAAATTAATAATAGAAAGTTAATTTTCATTAAAAAAAATTGAATCACTTCTCGTAACAAAAAAGGAAAATCAGGAATCTACTGAAAAGCAAACTCCAAAATGAAAAAACAGGAACTCTAATCACGAGCAAAATAAAAATAAAAGACAAAAGGGACTCTACTGACGAGCAAATTGAAAATATAAAAACAAAAGGAACTTCTACTGACGAGCAAACTAAAATAAAAAAGAACTTTTTTGACAACAAATCTAAAAGTTAAAAAAATACGAACTCTACTGACGAAGAAGCTAAAAATAAAATAAGACAAGAACTCTACCAAAAACTCTACTAAAACAAAAAATGATTAACGACAAAAAATTGTACTTAGATAATACAAAAATGGAATTAAAAACCGTCAAAAACTGAGGAAAAGACAAAGAAACTCTACTGACAAACAAAATGAAAAAAAAAATTCAAAAAAAAACTCTACTGATGAGCTTAGACTTATAATAGAAGAAGAATAAGAATATAAATGCAATAAAACTCAGTAATTCAAAATATAATATATAATACATAAGACTACTTGCATTGAAAAAAGTATCTTATCTTATATTTTAAGCAACTTGTAAAATAAGAGAGCAAGCACGCATATTCAAAAAGTCCTTTTATAAATATATAAAAAATGACAAATAATAAACAATACTTTTTTCTTAATAAACTTTCGTGGTAAATCTATAAATATCTTATATTTAGTTTAAGTAGTAAAATAAGAGTTAAAACTTATCACAGAATATGCATATTTATAAATTACTCCATATTGGGTACAAGTGATTAATAAACAATACCTAGTCACTAAAATAATAAATATTTTAATTCTTTGTACCAGCTCTCTTATCTTACCATAAGATAACATTAAGATAACAATCAATTTACTTCTATGTTACAATCAAAGATGTAAATTTCAAATTCAAACTCCAACGGTCAAACTTGAACAAACTTCACAGCTAAAGTATAATATCAAACTTCACAGCTAAAGTATAATATCAAACTTCACAGCTAAAGTATAAGGAATTAACTAATTCTAATAATTTACTAATTCTAATATTTAATAATATAAAATAAGATAATTTCCTCAATTATAAAATATTGCAATTAGACTTGTCTGCTGTCTATTATATTTTGAATTGCTTAGTTTTTATTGAATTTGTATTATTAATACTTAATACGAAGTTTTCTTCGACCAACTTCACACCTCATGCACAATGTGCTAGTCGTTTTATTAACTGTAAATTAATAATAAGTGTTATTGCGTTACGCGTATCGGATATCACTTATAAATTGCGCAAATAAGTTCGAGTAAATTTCTGCGCCAATTGCGTAACATTACGCAGCCGAATGCGTTGATAATAAGGTAAGATTGGATAATCTTATGATTTAATCTTATTAAAATTAGATCGATTCAATAATAGATGATTATTATGATTCAATTGCGATAGGAATTCCGACGCTCGGTTTGTGCCGGATTTTGTCATCGGATTTGAAATTGTAATTTAATTGGTGGAAAGCTGTTAGAAAATAGATTATCTTATTAACTTCCCGTAAAATGAAAAAATTCATATATCTTCACGTTTCAAAGGTTTCTGAATATTTTGGCATACTTTAGAAAAAATGGATGTATGTGTGTGTGTGCGTGTGTGTGTGCGTATGTGTAAGTGTGTGCGGATACAAATTTTCGTCGACGATTTTGGGAACACGAATGAAGCGATTTAAATAATTCAAAAAACATTCGATTCGTATTGATAAGGAGACGTGCTGATTAGTTTTTGGCGAAGGCAGGTCTAGCCGTTCCGAAGATACGGGGCAAAAAGTACCAAAAACGGTAACTCAGTTTTTAAGAGAACGGAGCGTCCGATTTTAATAATTCAAAAAATTTTACGTGTATATATTATATATATATATATATTATATATTAACAAGATAAAGAACTGATCAAATTTTCATGAAGGCAGGTCTAGCGGTTTCGGAGATCCAGTAAAAAAAGTAAAAAAAAAATGCCATTTGGTGGTCAAAAATGATCATTAGACATATGCACATCAAATTATCAGATATTTTATAGAGATTTTAACAAAAAGTATAAACTTTGTTTACATTTCTATGGTTTCCGTAACATCGTTTGTCCGTTAGACGGCGACGCGGCGCTTACGCGCTCCAAAATTGCGCCTCTATGCAGCTAAAACAAACTTCACAGCCTAAGTATTTTGTTCATGCATCCTTGCAGTAATTATTACAATATTGCAATCAAAAGTGTATTATAATATTATATTATCATGGTTATATTTATAATACTCTAGACAGTCGATTAACATTTTTAGAAATTGAATAAGCGTTAGTTGTTTGCATATAAACAAATATAAGATTGTATTATAATATTATATATATATTATATATATATTTATAAATACTTACATTTGTTGCTTGCGTCGTCGACGATACAAGTAATATCACCAAACCTGAAACAAAATAAAAAAATTAATACATTTATAATTTATTAGAAAATTTTATTTATTATATATATATATATACTAGCTAACCCGGCAAACGTTGTCTTGCCATAAAAAATATGATAAAAAATTAATAAAATTGCCAAAAATCAAATATTTAAAAGATTTGGACTCTGATTCTTTGACAAATAGTTAAAAACTTGTTAAAAATTTTCAAAATTATTTGACATTTCATACTCCGAAATTAATTCACTCGCATCATAGTTTTTTTGTTTATTATACTTTTGTCATGTCACATATGTCAATAAAAATTTTTTTCAAATATTATTTATTTGTTAATAAATTAATAATTATTTTAAGTCATCAATGAATAATTATATAATTGTTAAATTCATAAGTTTGGCTAAATCAACACAGGAATATTGTGAGGAAAAAATATTTTTTTACATAAAGATCTGATTTTTGACATTTGCATTTTATTTCAAATTAATTATAACTGTCAAAATATTTTCTTTTCGGTCAAAATTTAATATGATATGATATAATATTTAGTTTGTCTAGTTTGTTTTCGTTACAATTTCAAGATAAGATTAGCATTTGCGATGACAATCAAAATATATCTTAACTGATATATTAATAATAATATTATATTTTAATTACACAAATTTCTTTACACTCCGATAAATAATTCCAACGCGTCATAGTGTTTTGTTCATTTTTATTTTGTTTATGTCATTTTTTTTAAAAATTAAAGAATAAATTAAATTTTAGTCTAAAATCAACGCAGTATCTTTATCTAAATATACATTTTTTTATATAAATATTTGATTTTTTACATTTGCATTTAATTGAAAAATAGTGAATATCAATTTCATATATCCAATATGCACTAAATTTATAAAGGTCAAAATATTTCCTTCTTGGTCCAAAATTAAATAATATGATAATTTATTTTACAATAATGTTTTGTATCTATAATTTGCTTGGCAATATGCCTATAACATAACTTGGAATAATTAATTTATTGCTTCTTATTGAAGTAAGTCGTTAAACATTTTTTGGGAAATGTCAAAATTTTGTTTATGATTAATTTTAAATTCAATATGCCGCTTTTTTATTGTGATCTCTGATCTATAATGTTTTGATAAAGTTTTGGTTTCCGAAATAATTTGGCAAGCTAATCAATTAAATCTAAATCGTTTAATCTAAATTTTTTGAAATATCAAATTTTTTTTCAAAAATTATATATCGAAATTTCCTTAAATTTTGACATTTGTCATTTTAGTGTTTTGTTTTTTTTTGGTCATTTTCTGACAAAA